CAACCCGGAGGGACAGCAGTTGCAAAAGTGTGGTACAGATGGTGGTAGGTCAGAGTTAAAGTCAGAAATTGTAGGTAAAAACAAAAACTCAGAAACTTGTGACTGAATGAATAAAATTGGTACATGATAGTTGTTGCATAATTTTAGTGAAAATTGTGACGTAGTGAATGGTCAGAGTTTTTTAAGTTTTGAAATAAGGATGTGTATGACACTTTTTATCATCTTTGATCATTTTGTACAGAAAATTTAATTCTTTAAAAACTGAGGATGCTTAGATATGTGCGAAAAATTTTGTTTGAATATACAATTTCAACGCATTTTCAAGTTATTCAGATGTAAAATTATGAAATCCTACGGCGTTGAGCCAACTCTCAATTACAATCCTTCCTACAAGGAGATGTATTTTAATTTTTTTCTCTCCTTTTTTAGTGGAAAAATCTTAAGATTTTATGGTCTTATTATGTTTTACCATGATAGAATTGAAGTGGTCTACATTGTAGCGGCTAGATCCCTCTACTACAGCCTGGAACAACTTAGCAACCCCGAAAAGGAACAATTTCTGCCCAAAATATTGGCTATTCCGGGACTTTCTTTGAACTTAAACACCACGAACCCACAGAAAAAACTCGCACGCCTACTCTGCAGGGCACCTCTTATAGAAAAACGTCAAGTGGTGGTGGGGCACGACATCATAAATATTGCTATCAACAGCCACCGCACAAGCAATAATAGAGCTTGCACTGCAAAGGAATTACCAGAAATTTTGAAGAAACTGACAAAAATCAGCGCAATGGTATTCTGTCAAAGAAATGCTACACCAGATAGCAGGAACCAGCTGATCAGCTCGGGTATTCTTCTCACTGCTATTACGAGGTGTCTCATTTCAAAGAGGAATAGAGGAATGGAGCACCAGGAATGCACAGGAAAGCACCAAAAATATCAAGCAAGGCACCAGGATTCTGTTCGAACACCATGACAACCTGTCAGAGGTTTCGTCGAAGCTTCGTTCAAACACGAAAAAGAAATCGCAAACGAGAATTAGGGCGGAGAAAAGAAGACTGGCAAACAGAGGCGAGGAAACATTTGCGCCGACTGACGAGGAGGCTTCAACGGAGAGGGTGAGTTAAAGTTAAGTTATTTGTGTTGCTCTATTTCACGTAAGGTTTATTCCTCGTGGCCTGCAAAACAATAAGCAAAGTTGTACTCCCACCTCCAATCTTGTTATGGACTTTCAAAAATCAATTGCAATTGGAAATTAGTCCGTGATTATGCGTCCATATATGTGATATTTATCAACTGCCACCAACGTATTAAGTTTCTGAGAGTTTGTCTAGAAAACGACATTATACCTGAATTTTCGAGGTTCAGAGTACCAAAAAATGGAGTGTTTTCGAACCAAGCGGTACACAGTTTACAGACAAAACTTCTAGGAACGGAGGTTAACAAGGCCAGGACAGATGAGAAAAAACGTCGAAGGCAAACTAGAAAGGGCAAGAGGCGCAGTACAGAGGAGTGAAGATGAGAAGTTATGGCCTTCGGTAATGAAATACTTAAGTCTCAGGGGACAAACATAAACAACAACAGTTCAAGAGACTAATTAAAAGAAGGCCCAATATATGAGATCCATTAAATGAAACTATCAGAAAGGCAAAATCGACTTTTAGGGAAGCAAGATGAGGTTTCAGTAAAAGCTCTCGATGATGTTGAATTATCAGATTGGGTACAACAAGTCTTGGAATTAGGGCCGAAACATCCTGCCAGGGATAAGTTTAATGAGACACACTTTCTCGCCGATATTGATATCTTTCTTTTGGATCTCAAATCTGGGGAGGCCTTTTGTGAGATCGAAGCAGGTATAACATCAAAAAATCTCACATAACCTCTTCTTCTTGCAAATATAACACGTTGTTGGCAGTTGATAAATTTAACATATATGGACGCATAATCATACCCTAACTCCCAAATGAATTTAATTTTTTTTTAAGTCAAAATCAAGATTGGAGCTGGGAGTACAAGTGTGGCAAAAGCCTATGCTAAAAGGGTGAAACAAAAACCATCTGCCAAGGGTGTTGAGAAGGCCCGAAAGTATTTGAAGAGTAATTGATTAGTTGCGGTACCGTATGACAAGGACGTGGGGTTGTTTGTAATCAGGAAAGTTAGGTACGAGAACAAGTTATCAAATTTATTAGATTCGAATCAATTCAGCGAGAGGAAACGAACAAGGTATCAATAAGGAGTTGTTGGCTATGAGGAACAAAAAACGAAATAAGTGAAAACTTCTACACAAGGATGAGGTCTACTGGGGAATGGGGCAGCCCGCCAGGCTTTATGACTCGGCGAAGGTGCATAATAAGAATACCTCATTGAGACCGGTCCTCTCAATTAGGGTAGTTCTTATTATAACCTGAACAAGGTTCTTGCAAAATTGAGGGCGCAAACATCGAAACCAACTCACTAGAAGCGAGAGAAATCTTAGAGAGTATTAGACTTGAGCCCAATGAAAATGTGATATCTCTAGATGTGAAGAGTTTGTATACAAATGTTCCACTCAAAGAAGCAATAGACATAGCTCTGAGAAAACTGTATGAACAATATGAACCACCATCAATTGCTAGGAAAACCATGAAGAGACTGTTGCACGTGGCAATTAGTCAAGTCAAGTTCAAGTGCAATGAAACATGGTACGTTCAGAAAGATGGTTTGGTAAAGGGGGCATCTCTTGCTGTTATTTTAGCAAACTTTTGGCTGAAGCAGTACGAAACTGCACTTTCGAGGGATATTCCCGAAATGTTTATGCCCGAAAATTATCTTAATGGAATGTGTCCCGAGTGCAATAAGTTTTTTCTCTGTTACGCTGACAATAAAACGAGAACAGTGGAGAGTGATCCTGAAAAAATGTTACGGGCAGCAAACTTACTACATGCAAATTTACAGTTCAGAATGGAGACTACAAAAATTGGATATTTGGATTCAAAAATTATATTGACAAAACATGATAATTAACTGTGGGCGGTATCAGAAACCAACAGATGCAGGTACCTTACTAAGTTTTAGAAGTTGCGTCCCCTTCAGTACAAAAGAAGTGTGATTGAACGAACTGTTCACCGGGTTTTCCGCAGTACGTCAACATGGGAAGATTATGATACGCCGATGGAAATCAACCGTAAACAGTCGTTGTATAACCAATATCCGGAAAGTTGTCGTCGCGGGTTGCATCCCATGCCCTTGAAAAGATCATCAGGGAGGACAAAATCAAAGAGAACATTGCTGAGAAAAAGAAGCCCTGTGATTATAGCAGTGATTCACCACCCATCTTGATGGTCCAATATAGGGTGAATCACAGACAGACTTTAGCAAAAAAAAAAGTGCGCGATACCACCAATGCGCAGATACTATTCACGACGACGAAAAAGAAAAATTGTATGCCCTCTCTAAATCCTCCATTTCCAGAGATCTGAAATCAAAAGTGGTGTACAGACTTGAAAGTTGTGGTTGCTAATCTATTTTTGTTTACCACATTGGTTGAAGAACTGCGAAAACAGGATACCCAGTTGGACAGCATATAAGGCAGTGTGGTAGTGATACTGGTACGCTGGAGTTTAGTTGGAAGATAACCGACCAGGCGTTCAGCAACTTTAAGTTCCTTACATTAGAGGCTGCACATGAGGTAGGAGAGAGCGGCAATTAAAACGCGAGACGAGTTTTGTAGTAAGGAGCTGACACCAAGACTATAGTTCCAGAATCGATAAATGTTGGCTAAAACAAAAAATAATGAAATAACTTAATGTTAGCATGAAATTAGCAACAAAACGAAATTGTAAAAAGAAAAAAGTTGAAAACTTTCAGAACTTTGTTACATAATTTAAGTAATAACTGTGAAGTTGTGATTGGTTAAAACTTTTTAAGTTTCGAAATAATGATTTGTATGACACTGTTTATGATCTTCGATCTTTTTGTACAGATACTGTAGGTTTTTAAAACGTGAAGATGCACAAAAATGTGCAAAAACGTTTATTTGAATTTACAATTTTAACGCATTCTCAGAAATTATAGATCAAACAGGGAACACCCAAAAATACTTACGTTAGAAGCTTTGCACCACATATGGCGGTACCGGCCCAAAATAAACACGCGAGAGGAATTTAGGAGCAGAGAGTTGACCCTAAACTTTAGTCTATGTTTTAACATAGCTAAATAAAAATGAAAAAAAACGAGATTGACATGTTTAAGGAAAATGAAAAGTTAATTAAATAATTTTAAGGAAACTTAAAAATAACGATATAATTTAGCAGGTTATGCCAGTTGTTCGATTTAGATTGGTGAGTTTGGTAAATTTGATGTTTTGATTAAGTTTGAAATTTTGCATGATCGTTGATCATTTGCTATGAAAAATATTTTGAAATCCTGACGATGCGCAAAATGTGCGAAAACGTTAGAATTGACAATTTAAAAATTCTCACCTAGTATCATCATACACAATGTCAGACCTGGTGATTCTAGTTACAGCATTTACCTTGAAAATTAAGTACTGGCAGCCAATGTAAAGACTACGTGGAATAAATTTAAATTTATATGACGAATACCGATGTTGTAATATTTATTGATGTTTAATTTTTGGATATATTTCCCATTTTCTTGTTTTGAAAATATAATCACACTCATTTTTAATATGATGTTAAATGAATAAATTGGTTCTTTTTTTGCTTAAAAAAATGACCCACCGCATAGTTACCTCCCGCACGAATGTTGTGAACCACTTTCTACTTTTTGATTTTGCAATAACCGATTTTTGGGGGCAGTACAACAGTGCCGAAGTACAACAGTGCCGAAAATGAAAACTTTGTTCAACATTGCCGAAAATGAAAACTTTGTTCAACAGTGCCGTAAATTTGAACAAATTTCAACATATTAAGTGCGGCAATCAAAAATTAAACAGCGATCGTTTACAATCTTAAGTAAAACTTTAAGATTTTGAGCGAGAAAATTTGCAGCTATGTTTGGCGCCAAAATAATTGTTTACTTTGCAGTTGCAGACATATTGGCGCCAAAATTGGAGTGATTTTCTTTGATAATTAGCGCCAGTAATTTCCCTCTCTTTAGAAAATGCCTGTAAATTATTCCCGCCTTTTTGGGCACTGTTGTACTTCGGCACTGTTGAACGCCCCCGATTTTTGTGTGCTCACCCAAATATGAAATATAAAATTCATAGTACGGTGCTTTTTCTTTGCATGAGAATTCTAGATCAGACATGCGAAAAGCATGTGGTATCACTAAAGTTATCTTGTAACAGAACATGCTTTATGACGTCTGTCATGCAACCCGTAATATTGTGTCCTGATACTGAAGACACTTCAAAATACTTCTGTAGTTTGCATTCAGCAGCGATAAGTTTGTGTTTTTTGTCTAGCTCCTGAATCTCGTTTTTGCTCAGCTCATTCTCATCGTATGAACCATTGCCCACAAGAAAAAGCAATATCGAACCTGGTGCAAATCCTTGATCATCCATAATCTCCTTGATTCTTAGAGCGCGTTGTAAACTGTCTGAATCGCAAAGATTGAATAACAGTATGACTGCATCCGATCTTTGAACTACTATCTGAAACAGATAAAGAATGGTAAAGAAACAGCCACCTAACCATTCATCAAGTTATCCTGCCACTGTTTTTTATATGATGGAAAACTATTGGCTACTAGCCAGTCATAATCGATAACTACCCCCTGGTATTGCAATCGGGTAATAGATTTTCCCCCGTAAATAACTTTATTCACAGAATGGTCAAATTCGAAACGGTAAATTTATGTTCATTTCGTAAGGAACTGAAACTTTGCGTCTCCGGCTTACTTGGTCTGGAGGTAAGGAGTACGCTTGGGCTTCTTTTTTTAACGGTGAATTTTCTTTTTCAAAAAAATTGTCAGCTTATTATTTGTCTGCTTATGTTTTGTCGGCTTAGTTGCCACATCTTAGAATTGTTTTTTTTTGCTACGCGCAAGTTAAATTGTAGTTGCTATAAGTTTTTTTCGTTTTTTTTTGTTTTTACTAACCTTGATTTCTATATTTTCTTAAAAACTATGTTGGGCCCAATAGAATTCGGTTTAGTGACCTAATTTTGAGCCTTTTCAATGTAAAAGTAGATTTTATGCTCATTTTTGGATTGCAAAAATTCTAAAATCTTAATGAAAATTATAGTTCAATTTTTTCATGACATTAATTTTTTCGTTTCCTGTTTTTGCTTGATAGGTTTCGGCCTATATTATATAGTCTTAATGGCCTCATATTGTCTCTCAAACTTTGTTCGCATGTGCGTGTGTATCTTTTGAGGGCAAGGGTCTTCTAAATAACAATTTTTTATTAGTTTTAAATTTGTTTGGATTTTTTCGGCTTTGTTTTTTTTCTTTTTCAGCTATATAGATATCGGCCTATATTATATCGTCAGAGTGGCTTCATTTGGGGAGAAAACGAAGTTTTGTGTATGTGTGTGCTTTGAGGGCGAAGGAAATCTTAAGTTTTTTACAAGTCTTATGTCTTAAGTCTTACGAGTCTCGCAGAACAACCGAAACAGATGGAGGTGTAGTTTGAATCTTCAACGATTTGACGACGAGTGCAAAATTACCCTTGAGAAATTTCATAGCAGAACATTTAGGGCGTGATGGAACACTCTAACGGTGAAAGTAAGAAAGGCGCACCCAAGCGTACGTAGGATAACAATTTCAGTTTCGCCAGCACTTTTGGCTAGTCTTAAAATTTTCATTGACTTGAGCCGAACTCGTTGCATGTTACTGGAGCAATTGTCGCGCTATTTGCTAAATCATTCGATAAATCAGAATTGATTTTGTCAGTCACTGTGACTTGTAACATACGAATGAGAAAACTCAATTCAGCAATCTTGTATTGTGCTTGAAATGAAGGAATAATAATTTATCCTTTGAAAAGATTTGCTGGCTACTGGAGCTTCTCTTGTGGTCAGTACAGGCAATTTGTGGCAAAAGGATTACGCAACCGCATCAAAAAGGGTAGTTCGACAGTTAAGCAATCCAATAAAAGACCAAAATGGCGTCTTCCCTCCAGGCTAACCTCAGGAGAAAAAGGAGTAGATTGCAAAGCTGGCTTGAACTGGTATCGCGTGAATTGTTGATGTTTACCAAAATCAGAATATGCAAACATTTCAGACGCAGTCTGTTTTTGCAAAGACTGGAAAGGGACCAATCAGAAGTGGGTGTTAAAGTTTTCCTAAAGTATGTCGTTGATATTGTGAGAACGATGAACAGGCAAATTTTTTCGTTTCCTGTTTTTGCTTGATTGGTTTCGGCCTTTATTATATAGTCTTAATGGCCTCATATTGTCTCTCAAACTTTGTTCGCATGTGCGTGTGTATCTTTTGAGGGCAAGGGTCTTCTTAATAACAATTTTTTATTAGTTTTAAATTTGTTTGGATTTTTTCGGCTTTATTTTTTTTCTCCTTTTCAGCTATATAGATATCGGCCTATATTATATCGGCAGAGTGGCTTCATTTGGGGAAGTTCTGTGTATGTGTGTGCTTTGAGGGCGAAGGAAATCTTAAGTTTTTTACAAGTCTTATGTCTTGTTGGTTTTTTTCGGCTTTAAGGGTGTCTGCTATTTTTGGTTTTGCTAATTTTTTTCCCGATGTTAATTTCACATTCTTTTGTCTTGACGGCTTTCTTGTTTTGTATCGCAAGTTGTGCGAAGCGCAGCTTCGCCTCTGTGTTTTTTATTGTAAAAATGATTCGTTTTTACTAGCCAGACCAACTGAAGAAAAGATAGAATAAAATTGATCTCATATTAACCTCGCATTACCAGTTTTCCTATACATGTGTTGTGACAAAAAAGTAAGAAGGATTAAGATCAGTATTGGACTAAATATTTGCACGAACCATTACGGACGGAAAAACAGCGTGACAAAGAGACAGTGTACTCAATCAGAAACTACTCTGAGGTAGCCCACGACTCACCAGATACCCTTCATGGCTGTTCTCTAGGCTGATTTAGAGCAAATTATTTTTCTCAAGTTTTGATTCTCCTTTTTTTTTGTTCCGTGGTGCTTGCATTTTTGTGCTCGAAAATCATGAAAAAAACCAGAGTGTTCTTTTTTGTAGTTAGATCTAGGTAAACTCTTTTGTCTATCTATCTATTATATATCTAAATGAGAGTTTCTTTATCTCGCCTTTTTTAAGCTTTTTCAACTGATTATTTTTGGAATGAAAGAATTCTTGCACGTTTAAGCAATATCGTGTATTGCAATTCTTTACACAAGCAAAGCTTGTGTTATAGTATGAACTATCTTTTTTTCCCAACCTAAGTCGCAAATATTGTTGCGATAAAATGTGTTCATTTTAAAAGTGTTCGTTTTGATCAATAACCAGCCAATGTCAAGTACAGCCAATATTACGGATTTTAACACAGACGATTGTTGTTCCGACTTTCGTAACGAAAGTAACGGAATATTTGTACTCGGGGTGGTTTTTTTCTTCAGACAAATTTCGACTTTTAAACTAGCCATTTTTGACGGAACTTTTAAAAATATCATTCAAAAGGTATTGTTGTCCTGAGCTTAACATTGTAAAGATATTTCATCTGTGATCTTTTCGTAAAGTTATGGGGATTTAAAATGGCCAATTCGGGAAAATTAACGCGCGATGTATTTCGCGCTATTAACGCGTAAGCGGAGATATAATCCGTCGTAGAAATTGTTCCAAATTGGTTGAAGGAAGCTTATTTGCCATAGCTGAATTGTTACTGGGAGCAAAATTTATCATTTTTTAACTTTATATGGCGTGTGGGGGGATGATTTTCACAAAAAATCTCAAATTAAAAAAAAGTTCATTTTATTTTTATTACATTTAATTTTTTCATGTAATTATTGCTCCATAGACTGCTCTATAAATTGAGGGGGTTAGTTGGTAAATTTATTTTCTTCAAATTGACTGGTACTGCTATAGAATTTCAAATTTTATAATTGGCGTGCGTCACTTGAGAAATTTTGTAGACTTAAAGTTTTACTCATTCAGTTTTTCCCAGTAGCGTTATCGGTCATGTTTTTTTGCTTGTGTATGCGAAGTGCAACTTCGCCTCTGTGTAAGATTTTTTTTGAATTCAGTGTATATGCCAATAAGTTCGAAATTCCCAACCCGATAGTTCGGTGTGTCATGGTACTCTCAGGGGTTTTAAATCTCGCCTCCAAATCATTAATTGCGTTCAGTTTCCGAGATATGGCATTTTTCTCTGAGCTTTCCAAAATTTAGGAAATTAAAATTTAAAAAAAGTCGCAAAAAATGAATTTCCCTACATGGTAGTCGGGCGCTGTCAAAAAATTACTTGAAAAAAAAACTTTATAAAATTTGAAATTTTTAACTTTTTTAATGAGCCGCTGTCATTGTACTCTTAGGTATTGCAAATTTTGCCTCCAATTGTGAATTCTTTTGGTTTCCTGATGTAAGGCGCTTTTTTACGATTGGTAAAAAAATGGAAAACTTAGATTAAAATTAACTCAATGTTTTTTCATGATTGGTCAAAATTTTCAATGAACTTAGATAAATTCACTAAATTTGAAATCCGTAGTTCTAAAGTAAGGTGCTGTTGGGGTACTTTCAGGCGTTACATACCTTGCATACAAATATGGCTGCTCAAATTGTCTTAGTTTATGAGTTAGGACAATTTTGTGATTTTTCATTATTTTTCAAAAAAAAAACATAAAAACCTTCAGAAAAGATGAATTTCTCAAGTTGATATTGATGTATTGTCAGGGCAGGGGCTGATTTAGGGGGATGGGATGGAACCTCCCTTTAGGGATTCGACCCCACTTTAGGGATTCGAACCCCTCACCACTCATAGGGCCCCCCTTTGGTATTATGTTATGACACCAACCAACCCTAAAGTTTTTCTAAAGGCGCTTTTGGCCCCAATATATACTTATGGTGAAGGAGTGCGCGCCAAAAAAACGCAATTGCCCTGTTCTTCAAAATTTTGACTGCGGCTCAGAAAATTTGGTCAGAATATGGTCTTTATAGTGATATGGGAGAGTTCAGTAAATCATTGTTGGTCGACCTAAAAAAAAGGACGGAGTTCATTCACTATCTTGCACCGCAAAATTTTTTATCGCAAGTGCTGCGAAGCTCCGCTTCGCTTCTGAATTGAATATTCAATTGTGTAACTGGGCTGGTTGTTTAAAAAGGAACTTTACTAAATACAAAAACATGAAAATTTTTAAAGATGAAATTTTTCGGACGATTTTTGAAAAAAAAAAAAAACAATTTATAACTCATGCTAGACGCGAGAAGAAATTGTACGCAACATTGCACTGAAGAAAAAATTGCCCAAGCGGGTCGCAATATGAACAATTAGTGGGACCAAAGCATAATCAATAAAATACCTACAGCACTTAACTTACAGCTGTAAAAACAATTAGAGTCAACGAAAGCGGTCCTTCCATGCTTTCATTCACGAAGATACAGCAGCACCTAAAAGTATAGTTAGTTCTCATTCATCGAGAAAAATCAAACCAAACTCTTCAATGTGTCGAAATCCATGGCAACTAAACGGAACAATCTATTATATATGTAAATACGGGCTTCAGTATCTCGCCATTTTTAAGCTTCTTCAAAGTATTTTTTTTTGCATGATAAACGAAAGAATTTTTTTCATGTTTAAGCTATGTTGTAATTGCTATAATTAAGAAGTTTTTTTGGTTTGTCAGTTTAAATTAAGTGACTTGACTAACCAAGCCTTTTTATTCTACGAGATTCCTTAATTTTTGTGATTTTTTTTTCAAAAAGTTGTCAACAGAATTCGCACGTGTCTTACTTACAGATGTACAGATGCAATGTAGCATGCAAAACTGCACGTAAAAAAGTTTGTCCATAGAATTCGCACGTGCCTTACTGTACAGATGCAATGAAGCATGTGCATGTTAGGTATGGGCCTTTTCTGCCTGTTATGAGTTTCTTTGATAGTGTTTTTAAACCAAAAATGTTTGGTATTTTTTGGCACTTGAGTGCCGACATTATTTCCGTCGGCCCATTTTCCGAATGATTTTTTTAAGTTTTTTTTTGTTGTTTTTTAAAAGAATGTTTGAAGTCGTACAAAATGTTTCGGACAAATCTAAATCACTTTCCCAGACCCTTCCTAACAAAAGTGAATATTTATGAAAATTGAAAAAAAATATTATCGTTACTGAATTCAGTTTGCTCATTATCTTTGGTTTTAACGTTTTGTGCTTTTGTTTGTTCAGTCAGCTGTTTTTATCATGTTTTTTTTTCTGGTGTAGGTAAAGGGTGCAAGTCAATTTGAGCTGCTCTTTGCTACCTTTTTATTCCTCCAGTTATGGGTAGTTTCAGTGTGTTAGGAATGATAAAAACAGGAACCAAGCAAGCTTGAAGTGCTATCAAACCAGAAAATTTTAATATCAAAATTTTTGATAATATTGTTCAGAATTGATAATCTTTTCTAAAAAAAGGTCATTGGCTGATCTTTTCCTTTGATATTTGTTTTTTTGTTTGATTTTTGGTAAACCGTTTTTTCTGTCAACTTAGTGTTCTTGTCTGATCGGATCTTTTTTTTGTAATTAAAAATTGGCGTTTTTTGGCGTCATAGTTGTTCACAATCCGTAAGCAGTGCCTAATTCTAGTCTAGTTGAGTTTCCATGTCTAGTTTTAATTCTTGTTTTTTGTTTCCTTCGGTTTTTACTGATCTAGTTTTTTATTGAAAAATAAGTTGTTTTTTTTGGAACGGAATCTCGAAAGTTTTTGCGAAATTTATCTTTGTCGTTAGTGTTGTTTTTAAGAATCGTTTGAAGTTTCTTTTAGATCGCATTTTCTAATTGAATTTGTCTAGGCTTCTGAAAAATTGAATAATATTGTTCGGTTTTTATGTCTTTCATTTAAAGCGTAAATCAGAGTAAGTTGTTTTTAGTTCTTTCATCAGTGCAGTTTACCAATGTTTCGATTGCGTGTCTTCGGAATACTCCGATGCATAGCAGGCAGGTTTAAAAAGTAAGTTGGAGGTTGGCTGATTTTGTTGCTTATATAATTTTTGAAAAAGTTTTTTGCAACAATTTTGCAATCTGATTTTTTGATAACTTTTTCTTGGCTTACAATTTTTGCATCGCAAGTGGTGCGAAGCTCTGCTTTGCCTGTGTCAAAAGTTTCAGAAAACATATTTTGAATAATCACGAAATTTGAAATTCCCAACCCTCTAGTTGAGTGCTGCCATAGTACCTTCAGGGGTTGCAAGCTTAGACACCAATTATGAGTGCGCAAATTTTTTTTGTGCCCTTTTCAGAAAATTTCATAAAACCTAGATTTGAAAAACTTCCGAAAATTTCAACCCTGTAGTTGGGAATTGCCTTGGTACTCTCAGGCATTGCAAATCTTGCCTCTAAGTTTATTTGCTCAAATTTTTTTAGTTTTCGAGATATGACGTTTTTCTAATGATTTTTAAAAAGTTGTCAAAAAATTGATCTATAATATATTTCACAAAATTGGAATTTCACAACCCTATATCTATGAGCTGCCAGGGTAGTCGCAGGGGTTGTAAATTTTTCTGCATTTGTGACTGGTGATTTCTTTTTAGTTTCAGTAATACGACTTTTTTTCAATACTTTTCAAATTTGACTGCTGAAATCATCTTGTTTTCTGAGATACGCCGTTTTTACTTAGTTCTACAGAACTTTTAAAGATGAGTTTCTCAACCATATAATTTGTGTTAAATTTGAATTGAATCAACAAAAAAGATTGATATTTTATTATTTGTTACCCTGGATTAATGGCAGCACATAATATATGTACAAGCAGTTGAAAAAAAAAAAGAACTAAGTTAAACAAGAATTTCGTTTTCGGTTTTGGTGATTGTGCAATTGACATTGTTTCATAAGTTTTTTTAAAATAATTTTGAATGTCCATCTGTATGCTTTTGATCAGTTAATATTTGTTTCGGAGTTGAAAATACGAAGATCTGATACCATTAGTTTTGGAGATTTGAGTTTTTTTAGTTTAAAAAATCTTTTGAGTTTAGTTCTTTTTATCGTTCATTCTTTGAAATGAAAAGCAGTGTTGAATGCCTTCGTCTATTGCTATGGATGCATTCCTTTAGCTGTTTTCTCATATATTTTATGTATAAGCAATTTTCACGTTGAATACTCTGAAGCAGAAAATTTGAAATTCCCAATTCTTTAGTTGGGTGGTGCCAGGATTTTCTCACGCCTCCAAATATGAATGCTGAATTCCTTTTAGTTTCCGAGATATGGCGTTTTTTGAGTTCGAAGCACCGGAGGTGCATTACTTGCTAGTTTTAACTGATGTTGTAAGTTTCAAATAGGTTTTTGTACTGTTGAATTTCGAATGAAAGATTTGTTGCTGATTTTCTTTTATGTTGCTGCTGTTTGTTATTGAGTGTTTGCGGACAATTAGGGCTAGTTTTGATTTCTAAAACCCAGTTTTTTTTCGCATTACAATCGCTGTTACATCGGTTCCTTATTTAAAAAAAGTCACGGTTAACTTAAAAGAAGTCTAATTTCGCCTTTCGGTTTACTCCGTCCTTTTAGTTGCCCTACCAATAATATTAACCTTATGTCAACCGAGGTTTTATACACTTTCCGAGTCATTACTTTTGCCCAGTTTTGGAATGTAGTTTTGAATGCTATCATGTATCCCTATTTTTCTTTCAAGGGTGTCATTAGTGCGTCAACTGTTTCGCAAGTGGCCAAATAGTGTCATGTTTAGTTATTAATTGAAATAGAATGTATTTTTTTTTCTCTGTTGAATCTGCTAGTTTTATTCATGAAATTGAGTTTAAGACCAGGCAGCGCGAAAATAGCTTCAAAAATCTTACAAAACCATCACAAAGCTTAGAGTTAAACTTTGTTGTTTTTTTTTTCGGAAAAACCTAGGTATTGAGCGTAGCAAGCTACTTTTGATATAGTTTTTGGCATTTGACGCATGCGTGGGCAAGTTTGCCTGGCATACCATTGTTTTTGGAACTTACGTCTGTATTTTTTTCCGTCTCGGCCGTCAAGATGAGTCTGACTTGCTGCTCTTTCACATTCTTCAACTTCTTATCGATCGATTTCACTCCCTTTTTGGCTTGATTGGAGTTAAGAAACACGTCTTTGATGATGCGTTGTGTTGTCAACTTCAAAGATGAGGCCTCCTCGACAGCAACTGCTGAACCAGCGCCTGTCAGAACGCTTCTGAGGAACCCCACGGTATTAGACGATGAGTCTCCAATAACAGTTACTCGTACGGTTTTTTTTGTTACTTCTCGTTTGGCTGAAGTCGGTGATTTCTTTTCTTCGTCCATTTTCGTTACAACGTCTGCTTTGGCTATAATTTCTTTGATAACGTTTTGTTAATTATTGTTCAGGTTCCAACTACTTGAGCTCAAACATTCATGTAACGTTGGAAATATTGTATTACAGATGTTTGTTTTGGATCACCTTCTGTTGATGTTTTGCATCAAAACAACACCAGATTGGAAATAGATCATTTGACAGTACAGTTTAAACTGTTTCAGATTCTGAAATCAAAACAAGTGTTCATCTGGGAAAACTAGTGTTTATTAGCCTAGTCAAGGGCGGAATAGGATTTTCTCAAGGGCGCGGGGGGGGGGGCGGATTTTCAAAACTTTTGTCGACATTTTTTTAAGTCGGCCAAATTGACTTTCCGAGCGCTCCCAGAACACTATAAACACCCTAAGTGGACAAAATTGTTGGCACCGAAGGCAAATTTTTGAAGAAAAAAAACGGTTAAAAAAGTAGTTTTTGGGTACTTTTTTTGACAATTTGACTTGAAAAAACCGCGGTTTTTTGGCGCGCGTTCCCCCTCGATATTTTTGGCGCCCTTAGAAAAATTTTAGGTTCGGTCGGCCAAAAATGGAATTCTTGAAAAGTACCAAAGGGGGACCCTTTGGGCCGGCAGGGGATCGAATCCCCGAAAGGGGGAAGTTCACAAACCCTGCACCTCCCCCCCCCCCCCCCCCCCCCCCAAGTCCGCTCCTGATCCTAGCCAAGATCAACTTAGTAATATCAAAATGTTTTCACAAATTCACAAAGTGTGAATGAAAACTACTTTTATATCTTAAGTGAGTTTTACGTATAAAAAAGTCTTTGTTTTAGATTGATGCCTATTCAGGTAACTCCAAGAGAAGCGAACGGTTTTGAGAACCTTTTCGGTGACTCTATTGGAATAAAAAATGTGGGAAACAGGCTTTCAGATCCTGCAAACCAACACCTGGCTCTACGAGACTTGGGAATTAGAATCAGTGGTACTATCTTCACCATAAGCTTTAAGGAGTCAGGGTTCGCTTATGCCGATCCTTCGCATGATAGAAAGGCATTGGAGCCACATAAAACATCCAAGAACTTCACTGTCAATGTTTCGTTGCAACTAGAACCTCTCTATCCACTTTCGATTGTAGTTGCTTTCGAACCATTTGTCGAAGAATGTGTGAACTTCTTTGGGTACGTAACAGTCAATACTCCCAGCCGTGAAAAACGATTCATTCCATTAACAGGGAGAGGAACTGCTGCATTGGAGGGCAGACTAAACGATGCGCATGCTGGGTTCGTGACTGGCGGAGCTTGTGCTTCATTCCAAAACAGATGTGCCTTCATTCTAGCCGTAGCTGCTGCTGCCGGGGTCGGAACAGCAGGGCTGTCGCAAATCGGCCAAGAGATGTTCAAGATCAACGAATGTTATCATGGTCGTGATGAAATTCTAGACTATACGTTGTACTGCTCTCAGACCCAATTTAGAGACAGAATTTCATACACGGAGTTTATGATGCAGTCATACCCAAGTTCAAGTGACCGACCGCCTGTTCTGTCCCACGTAGCCGAAAAGAACTGTCTTCCTCAAATCTATTACAACTCAGTGTTGCTCAAACTGTCTCCATCTGAGTTTCAAGAGGATAGAGAACGAGCGCTTAACATGAGTAGTCTAAGTGCACAGTCGGTCAAGCGTCTTTTCTCTGTGGAAGACGGAGTCCAAATGTTGATCAGCAAAGGAAGTCATACTGTACTTCCACAGCCAGATAAATGGAACATACAAGATAGTCAAGGCTTCAATGTTCAAGCAAGACCAGGTGATGATTTCATCTCTACCGCGGCAAAAGTTGTTTCTATACCTGAGTTATTGAAGCTTATTAACAGTCAAAACGCTGAACGACAGGCTATAGCTTTGAATGAACTGGGAATTGAACTCAATGACTGCGAATTGAAAATTGTCTTTCATGAATCTGCCGCTAGTCAAAACTTTGGAACAGCTCCAGCGGCTGACAACATTCGTTCTGCGAGTTTGGCTTTAAGTTTCAAGCACGAGCTGAAGTTGCCTTTTGGTATAAGTTTAGAACAGAAGGGGTTCATTTCGGATGGTGTAAATTTCTGGGGTGCTGTGAACGTAGCTTCGGAACACTTCGTTCCTCTTCCTGGACGAGGTACTGTAAGTCTTGAACCTGCAGGAGCTACTTTGAGTTCTCAATTAGGTCCGGTTTACTCCGGAGCAGCTTCGTCCTTTGTGACCAGATGTGCCTTAGCTCTTTCCATAGTCAAATGTTTTGGAGCAAGTAACGACCAGCTGCATCAACTGAGGGAGATGTTATGTAATCTTGATTTTGGGCTGCATAACAAGTCCGATATGATATGCTACGCTGTAGAGTGCCTTAAAAACTCAAAGAGGTCTATGCCTTCATACACCTCGTTTCTCTCGTTCATTTACGATCAAAAATCTTGGTCGCCTAATTTGACGCACTTGCTTAAACATGGATCCCCTGACAAGGTATACTTCGCAAGTGTGACCCAGCACTTGACAGTCGAGGAACTGCAGACAGACCAGAAAAATTCCGAAGCCAGTGTTGGTGCTCCCATAAGTGGAAATTCTTCTCAAACTGACCTAGCAAGTATCTTGGGACTAACTTTTTTCCCGTATAGAGCGCGACTGGGCAAAGACCTTGTCACATCTGAGGGTAGAACCAAGAAGTTGGTCGAAGTCTTCGAGAATTTCAGTTCTGCCCGGAACCTGGAGGATCAGATAAGTAATTTTGACGTGAAGATTGAAAACGGCATGTTTAGAGTCACTTTTTGTGAGTCAGGAGATCCTTATTCGGATCAGTCTGGCAATAGAACTCAGACAGTTTGTAACGTTAGATCATCGGCGACAATCGAAATCTCGCTTCCAGAAACTAATCAAGGAAAGAAATACAAATTGATGGAAGTTTCGCTGAAACCTTTCTTGGAAGACCATGCTAACTACGTTGGAATGTTGAATGTTGTGAACATAGAGGGAGATAAGCGAAGTATCCCATTGGTCGGCAGAGGAACAGTAGCTTTCGAAGGAAAGGACTCAGGAGATAATCATGCTGGCTTAGCAACTGGACCCGGTTGCGCAGGGTTCCAGAATAGGTCAGCTGTTGTTCTTGGAGCTGCATTTGCTGTTGGACTCGATGAAGCTAAAATTCGGCAAATTTATTACATGCTGAAATACGTGAACGATTGTTTTCACGGCAGAGGTGGTTCCCTTGATTACATCGTGTATTGCGTAACAACTTCATCCAAGAATCGGAAAAGTTTTTTTGAATTCACAAAAGAGAATGTACCAGAGGCCGAATGGAATTGTTTGATGAAATCTGTGAGCGAATCGGGTAAAATTGGCGAGAAAACGCTGGAAAAAGTGTTGGGAAAACTGACCCCGGAAGAACAAGAAGAAGACCTGAACGCGCTGGACACTGGAAAACATGACTATCATCATGATAATAGTGAAGAAAAACAGGAACAGCTTAAGTTTACTGAAATTGGAGGTGGCCGAGCGATGCATAATTTAGAGGTAAAGAAATCTGCGCAAAGGAAAATCAGCGAGGATAAGCATGTTCATTTTAGAGTCAACCCTGTAGAGTTAATTGATCTGGAACCTAAAGTGGATGGTTACGGAGATCAGAAGCTGTATAAGTCGGAAATCACAGCAACAGTTGATAGCGGAGGGAAACACAACGAGTTGGTGTCATCATCATTAGCAAGCTCATCTCCGTCGCAAAATGAACCGAAACTCAGAAATTATGCAGATCTAAATCATGCATTTTCAGAAACTAAAGACAAGGAATCGAAAGCGAACGTACCCGATGTGAAGAAAGTTGCAGAAATAGATCTGAGCAAGAGAAATGAGGGGTTGTTGGAGACTATCTCTAAACACTTGAATCCAAAAAGTATCAAGGTGAGACCACGAATGGGGATCTTCTTCAAAAACTTCCTCGGACAAAGCTTCACCATGTATGATGTAGTCACAAGTTTCCGAAAGAAGCAAAGCGAGGGGCTGTCGATGTTGGGCATAAGTATTGACCGAAATTCAAAAACGTTCAATATCATATTCAGAGAGGAGGGCAAGCCATACGCGGAACCCAGCGGAAACAAAAGTAAGCTTGGTAATGTGAGGGTCATGGAGGTGTCCTATTCAGTCCGATTAGCGAACATTCCGCCGGAAGAGTTAGATGTGAATGTAAGTTTGGTTGCGTTTGAAAATGACGGCGTGAACTACTTGGGACGAATAACCTTTCACTCTTCGTTGAATGAATACAGATACATACCACTAGTAGGCCGAGGAACTGTAGCTTTAGAGGGCAAAGGGTCAAATGATGCTCTATGCACTGTATGCATAACGGGTCAAAGTGCGACATTTCAGCAGCGAATCGCTTTCTGTTTCGCTATTCTGGCATCTTGTGGCGGAACATCTCAGGACTTGGATGATTTGTCGGTTGCTCTGAAACCGATCAACGATCACTACCACGGAAGAGACGAGCTGTTCTATTATACACTACAATGCTCAAAGAATGCAGCGTCAAGTGTGCCTAGCTATTTCAAATTCATGTCACATCTATACCCTCAGGAATTGAATAGGCCGACTAATTTGTACAGCATGGCTAAATTCGGAACTCCCTCGAAAGAGTATTACGCCCAACTGATTGACGAAATGAGTCGAGAGGAGATTCAACAGGATCAAAGGACCTACTAAATATAGAAGATCAATTCAAATTATCATTAGAAGTCCAAACTTCTTGCCGATCTGTAAAACAACAGAAAAAGTAATTGAAATAGACTGTAAATATGAGAACGGGTTGAAGAATTCTATCCTGTAGAAAAAACTGTTTCTAACACTTGAACTCTTTAGATAATATTCTTTTCAATGGCATGTATGGCTTATGATTTATCAAAAAATACTCATCACTTGTGCATATGTCTATTTGTAAGTAGCTAAAATATAAGATTTCTACCACAAATTTGTGAAGTCATTTATTCGGACGTTGAATTTAAATTTTTGCAAACGATCTTTTAAGTCAGCTCTGTAAATTGAAATGGGTCTGTTGTTTGAGCTAGGCAGTAACAGTTGTCTGTTCAGGTGATTCGTGATGTCTTTTGATCAAGTTCTGAGAAAATATGTATTTCTGTAGAAT